GTGGGGGGGAGATTTGTAAAGGAAGTGGGGGGGGGTGTCCGTAGTTGGGGCAGAGGGAACAGCAGGGGCAGAGTGCGATGCAGGCCTGGCACCGGCCTTAACGCGGCTCCTTCTCTTGCAGGTTTTGTACATCAGGAAGAAGAGGTAACTCTTCAGCCACCTCCCCAAACTCCAGCCCCGGGCGGTGCTGGGCCGGGCTCCAGGGGAAGGGGGTGGGAAAGAAGAGCCCTCACCACAAGAGCCCCCACCATCAGCACCCCTGACCCTGGCAGAGAGTCAGGGCCTCCTCTGCCCACTGGGGGTTGAGGGTGGTCACTTTCTCTTGAGGAAGGTTGAGCCCACTCCCTAGGATCCCACACACAGGGCAGGCAGCGAGGACCCAGGGATGGGGGGGGGAGGAGAGGAGAAGGTTGGGATTACCTCCAGCCAGCTGCCCACCACCCGCCTTGCTGCCTGCCCTCCCCTCACCCCACTGCCCAGAGACTGTGGATCACACAAGGCCCCGGCCTGGGCAGTCCCCATGGACCCCCACAGATGACAGTTCTGAAACTGTCCTTCCCAGGCCACCCATCTGGTACAAAAATGGCTTTCATTCATCCCAGGGGAACTCCTAGATGTGGTCGTGTGCTATGGCTCGGCTGGTCAGCTGGCAGGGCCTGGAGGGCTGGAGGGAGGGGAAGGGCCTGCCCTGCCCCTGCAGCTTCTGTACCCCCCGCCCCAGGCTGGAGAAGCTACGCCACCAGCTCATGCCCATGTATAACTTCGACCCCACGGAGGAACAAGATGAGCTGGCGCAGGAGCTGTTGGAGCACGGGCGGGAAGCTGCCTCCGTGCAGGCCCTGCAAGGCAAGGTGCGCACTGGCCCCGCTCCCCACAGCCTGCAGCCTGTTCGTGACTCTCCCCTTCTCACCCCCTTCCTTCCTCAGGCCCCGTCCCAGCACCTGCCCTGAGGTCCGGTGGCAGCTGTCGGGGTGCGGGTTTTGTCAGGTTTGTTTAGAAATTTGGCAGAATTGTTCCCTGGCCATCCACAGACCCACCGTGTGAGGCCAGGCCAGGGCGGCCCCGGGATCCAGCCAGGCTCTGCCCCAACGGCCTGGTGGTCTTGGAAGCCCACTGGTTCCTCGGAGCCTCAGTCTTCTCATTTGCAAATGAAAATCCTAGTTCTTTCCCTGTGTGCCCCATGCCCCAGCTAGGAAAGCAGAAAGGGACCAACGGGGCAGGTGGCTGAGGACTGAGCCCCTGGGCTCCTCTGCTCCCTGAGAGCCAGTAGTCCTGAGTGGGGAGTGGTTTGAGTCACTTGGGACAGTGGCACCTCTGAGTAGACTGATGGGTCCCTGGTAACTGACAGGCCTCAGGCAGGTGCGTTTTGCTTCCTATGTCCAAAGGGTCGGGTACCTGTGTGGTCATCCTGCCAGAGTCATTGGCTGCCTGGCTACTTCCCATCGGACCCCCAAACCCCAAGGGCCAGAGCACCACGAGGAGGCCCGGTCTCCCCCTGACCCTGACCCATGAGGCCTCTTTGCATCCCTCCTTCCCTTGACCCTAGAGGCAGAATTAAGAGACTGGACTCAGGAAAAGCCAGGCTGGAAGTCCAGAGACCTGGGTTTACCACTAGTCCTGTGTCACCTAGATCAGGACTATCCCTTGGGATAGTCAAGAAATTGGGCTGAGAACTGTAGTCTACCCAGTGCATGGGGCTCCTGACCGGGTTTCTCTGTGCTGGGGCTTGGGTTGCAGAGGTGAGCCCTGCTCTGCAGGGAGACGAGGTACATGCATAATTAATCGGGCCCCTGGGCCCCAGGGTGAGTGTTGAGTGTAGCCAGGGCCAGCTGTGGATGGCTGTGGGGGAGGGGCCACCTGAGCCAGGTCAAATTTCTAGGCTGAGCTTTCAGGGAGGGCATTCCAGGCAGAAGGCACAGCTGGTGCCAAGTTCCGAGGAGTCACCAGGAAGTGAGGGTGGAGGCGACTGGGCCAGAGAGTGCATGGCCTTTGTGAAGGTCCTTGACGCCCCTGACTGTCTCTCCACAGACCACTCTCCCGTCTCAGGGCCCGCTGCAGAGACCCAGCCGGCTGGTATTCACCGACGTAGCCAATGCCATCCAAGCGTGAGTGACCCACAGTCAGGCCTGGACCTCTACTGAAGACACCTGCCTCAGCACCCACAGAGCTGCCTACTCTCGGGACCTGCCCTGCCATGGCCCCAGCTGTTCCCAGGACCTACCTGCTGACTCCAGGCCGGGCATCTGGCCACTGGCGTCCCCTGATGTGAGGGTCCTGGTACAGAGGCTATCCCTCCCACCAGGAAGGCCGAGAGCCCCTGCTGGCTTCCTCGTGTTTTGCCCAGACCCCTCATATCAGGGTCTGCTCCTCTAATGTGGAGGAAATGGAGAGATATGGGAGGGGAGGGAAGGAGTGCGGGGAGGGACCTGTGTTTAGAACCTGGAGCCTTCTCTGAGGTGGGAGAGGTAACCACCCAGGTCTTGGGGACAGAGCATGGTGGCACCGAGGGATGGAGCTGAAACTGCCCAATGGGCAGGGCTGCTAGGAGGAAGGCTACTCACACCCCATGCAAGTCCACATTGCAGAGTGTCCGTGAGGTCTCTCAACCACCCCTTCCTGGCAGCCAGCTGTTGGCTGGGCCCAAATGAGGATGGGAGCTGAGGCGGAAGAGAAGTGGGGGAACAGGTGTGGAAGTGGGGGGACAGAGGCAGTGTCCAGACCTGCTGCAAGGCCCATTCCTGTGCCTGAATGTGCCCATGCACGGACGGATGCCTGTCCCAGCACAGGGGCAGGAGGCAGACCCTCTGCACTGGCTCCACCTTCAAGTATCGCCCTCCCCCCCCCC